AGAAGCATGATCACCCAAAGAAATTCAGGATTATCAGCATCTTCTGCTACTTGTTGTGGCACTGAATTCAAATATTTGTTCCTGTGTTCACAGAGGCAACATAGATATAATGCATATGGGAATAAAGGGTTGAAGGCATCCTTGAAAAGGACTCTCAGTTAAGATTTAAAATGCATGTGTCTCTACATTTATTTAGATCTTTGATTTTTTCATCAGCATCTTGTAGTTTTTAACATACAAGCCCTATATATGCTTTGTTATATTTATACCTAAGTATTTCATTTGATTGATTAACATTTGCTTTGTATTTTTATTTTGATTTCCACTTGTTTGTTGCTAGCATATGGAAATACAATTAATTTTCTTATGCTGCTGATGTAACTTATGATCTTGTGATAAGTTATGAACTTATGAACTCACTTATTAGCTGCTGGAGTGTCCTTGTAAATTTATTGGGATTTCTAGGTAGATCATCAAGTCATCTACAAATAGAGATAGGTTTTTTATTTTCCTTTTTTTTTATCTGTATGGCTTTTATTTCCTTTTCTTGCCTCATGGTGTGCACTATAACTTCTGGTTGAATAACAGCAATAAGAGCAGATGTCCTTCCCTGTTCTTGATTTTAGGGAGAAAGCATTCAATCTTTCACTACTAAGTATGATGTTAGTTGCAGGTTTTTGCAGATGCTTTTTGTCAAGTCGAGGAAGTTTCTTTCTATTCCTATTATACTGAGAGTTTTTGTCATGAGTGAATGTTGAATTTTGTCAAACGCGTTTTCTGTATCAATTGATAGGATCATGAGATTTTTCTTTAGCTTGCTGGTGGATTACATTGAATGATTTTTCAAATACTGAAAAAACAGCCTTGTATCCCTGGAATATATACCACTTAGTCACAGTGTATAATTCTTTCTATATATAGCTGGATTCTATTTGCTAACATTTGTTAAGGATTTTTGAGTATTCAATCATAAAGGATATTGGTCTGTAGTTTCTTCTTTGTACTATCTTTGCCTGGTTTTGATATCAGGGTAATACTGGCTTTATAAAATAAATTGAAAAGTGTTCTTTCCTAGGCCAGGCATGGCGGCTCACGCCTATAATCCCAGCACTTTGGGAGGCCGAGGTGGGCGGATCACCTGAGGTCGGAAGTTCGAGACCAACCTGACCAACATGGAGAAACCTCGTCTCTACTAAAAATACAAAATTAGCCGGGCATGGTGGCACATCCCTGTAATCCCAGCTACTCGGGAGGCTGAGGCAGGAGAATCGCTTGAACCCCGGAGGCAGAGGTTGCAGTGAGCAGAGATCACGCCATTGCACTCCAGCCTGGGCAACAAGAGCTAAACTCCGTCTCAAAAAAAAAAAAAGAAAAAGAAAAAGAGTTCCTTCCTTTTCTACTTTCTTGAAGAGTTTATGTAGACTTGGTTTTAGTTCTTTATAAGTTTGGTGGAATTCTCCAGTAAAACCACCTAGCACTATGCACTTTTACTTTTGTAATTTGATTTGATCCTCATAACAACTTTGCAAAGAAGACATTTTACAGAAACAGTTTCCAGGTCCCTTGGACTGCACTGGATGCATAGTGAGATTAGTGAGGTGGCAGGGAAATAAGTCCAGAGCAGGAGGATGTCGGGCAGGGCAGGCATGCTAGACGTGGGTTAGGGTAGAGCTGGGTTTGAATGAGGTGCTTGGGAAGTGAAGAGTTAGGAGAAGTCACTATTTGGAGAACAGGGAGAGTAAAGAAGGTCTGGTTTATTGCAGCAGAGGGTCTGTGACTGCCAAGGGCCAGATAGAAATGACCCCAAGGAGGACTGGAGTGTGAAGGCCCAAGAGAAACAGGGAGAGGCTGTGCAGTTTCTTCAAATATCAGAAGAGATTGTTGCAAGGCCTTTAATTTGACCTCAGAATAAAATCTGAAAACAAGTGAAGTACTACAACTCTTTTAAAAAGCAAATGTGGGACCAGGTACGGTGGCTCACGCCTGTAATCCCAGCACTTTGGGAGGCCGAGGCGATCAGGTCACCTGAGGTCGGAAGTTCGAGACCAGCCTGGCCAATATGGTGAAACCCCATCTCTATTAAAAAATTAAAAAATTAGCTGGGTATGGTGGTGCATGTCTTTAATCCCAGCTACCTAGGAGGCTGAGGCACAAGAATCACTTGAACCCAGGAGGCAGAGGTTGCAGTGAGCCAAGATGGTGCCACTGTACTCTAGCCTGGGCAACAGAGCTAGACTCTATCAAAAAAAAAGCAAATGTGACACACTTATCAGAGTGACCCACTTATTAAAATCCAAATAATGCCAAATGCTGGTAATAAGTTGGAGCAACAGAAAGTCTCATTCATTCCTGGTGGGAATATAAAATGGCACAACCACTTTGGAAGACAATTTGGCAGCTTCTTAAAAAGCTAAACATAATCTTACCATGTGATTCATATGGCTCCTTGTGTAGATTCCCCAACCTATGTCTACACAAAAACCTGCACATGAATGTCATATTAACTTTATTTATAATCACTGGAATTTTAAAATTTTTAAATTTTAAAAACTGGAAGCAGCAAAGATGTTCTTTGGTAAATGAATGGCTAAACTGAGGTACTTCCAGACAATAGACTATCATTCAGTGATTAAAAGAAATGAGCTGTCGGCAGGGCGCGGTGGCTCATGCCTGTAATCCCAGCACTTTGGGAAGCCGAGGCAGGCGGATCACCTGAGGTCAGGAGTTTGAGACCTGTTTGGCCAACATGGTGAAACCCTGTCTCTACTAAAAATACAAAAATTAGCTGGGTGTGGTGGCGGGCACCTGTAATCCCAACTACTCGGGAGGCTGAGGCAGGAGAATCGCTTGAACCTGGGAGGTGGAGGTTGCAGTGAGTTGAGATGGTGCCACTGCACTCCAGCCTAGGGGACAAGAGCGAGACTTCCTCTCAAAAAAAAAAAAAGAAAGAAATGAGCTGTCGAGCCATGAAAAGGCATGGAGGAAGTTTAAATGCATACTGCTTAGTGAAAACAACAAGTCCAAAGAGGCTACATACTGTGTGATTCCAACCATATGGCATTTTGGAAACGTCAAATCTATGGAAATAGTAAACAGATCCGTGATTGCCAGGGGTTTGGGAAAAGAGGAGGCATGAATGGGTGGAACACTGAATTTTTAGGGACATGAAAATACTGGGTATGATACTATAATGAGGGATACAATTGTCAAAACCCACAGAACTCTACAACACAGAGTAAATCTTAATGTAAACTACGGACTATAGTTAATAATGTGTTAATATCAATTTGTCAAGTATCACAAGTGTGCCACACTAGTGCAAAATTATTAATATAATGGGGGAAACTGTGCATGGAGGGAGGTAAAAAGGTGGGAAGGGTCTAAATATATGGAACTCCATGTGCAATCTGCTCAATTATTCTGTAAATCTAAACCGGTGTTAAAAATAGTCTATTTGTTTTTTAAATCTAAGAAATTTCACATTGAAAGAAAAAGAAGCAGCCAGGTGCCGTGGCTCTTGCCTGTAACCCTTGCACTTTGGGAGGCCAGGGCAGGCAGATCACTTGAGGCCGGGAGTTTGAGGCCAGCCTGGCCAACATGTGAAACCTATCTCTACTAAAAATACAAAAATTAGCCGAGCATGGTGGCTCATGCCTGTAATCTCAGCTACTTGGGAGACTGAGGCATAAGAATTGCTTGAACCCAGGAGGTGGAGGTTGCAGTGAGCCAAGATCGTGCCACTGCACTGCAGCCTAAGCAACAGGGTGAGACTTTGTCTCAAAAAACAAAGAAAGAAAGAAAAAGAAGCAAATATGGTGAGATCTTTTTTTCAAGTGTTAAGAAATCCAGCAAAGTCATTCTGAAAACTTGCTTGTAAACTACACAGCCAGCCTTGCTGCCCAGGCTCCCTTCTACTTAAAAATTCCTTCACTGTAAACTCCATGCCAGATTTTTCCTCAGTGGAATAAGCTCAGGCCCTACTGACTTTTTTTTTTTTTTTTTTTTTTTTTTTTAGACGGAGTCTCCCTCTGTCGCCCAGGCTGGAGTGCAGTAGCATGATCTCAGCTCACAGCTCACTGCAATCTCTGCCGCCCGGGTTCAAGCAATTCTCCTGCCTCAGCCTCCGGAGTAACTGGGATTATGGTGCCTGCCACCATGCCTGGCTAATTTTTGTATTTTTAGTAGAGATGGGGTTTTACCATCTTGGCCAGACTGGTCGTCAACTCCTGACCTCATGATCCACCCGCCTCGGCCTCCCAAAGTGCTGGGATTACAGGTGTGAGCCACCATACCCGGCCTCTGTTGACATTCTTAAAAGGAACTTTTTTGGAAGTAAGATAGAACCAGACTTTTCAGCCCCTTCTTAGTTTGCCGAAATTTATTGTGAAAATAAAATTGGGTTTCTCTGATAGATTTGAAAAAGCAATATTGCATACCTTCCAAAGGATAAAAGGCTTTTATCCGGCCAAATTTTTCATTTCAACCAAGTCTAAGATGATGGTCTTCTGGGTTGATTGCTAATTCTCTGTAATTATCTACAAGGCCCTTTAAATTTGTTTTGGTGGTTTTTCTCTTCTGAATAATTAGATGAGGCAATCAGCACATCTTTCATATTATAAGGAGGCCTTTTTTTTTTTTTTTAAACACTACTCCTCCATGTTATAATTTCTGCAAGTGACAATAGGGGTAAATTCCAATCTGTAGCTCTAACGGCTGCTAATGAGGCGCTTGTTTTAAATCCCTCTGAGCTACACTGGCTCCTCCCACAGAGGACTTTTAAAACTCTGAGTTCTAAATCCTTTTGCTTTGGGGGCTGAAATCTGGTTCTGTAACCTTTTGAATCACCAATGTTTGCTTTGAAAGTTGACATTTTCTATTTAAATGGCAAGAGAGATGGGAAATAAACCTCAGCATTACAGAGCTGAGCATACTGATTTCAATTATCACCTTTAATCCATGCCTTTCCTCTTTATAATGTGTGGATTTCTTCTCTTAATTAGAAAGAGCCAGGGATTATCTGCACAAAACTGGAAGGTTTATTGTGATTGGCGGGATTGTCTCCCCTGTCCACGACTCCTATGGAAAACAGGTGGGTTCCTTCCTGTGCCTCTCTCCTCCTTCAACTCCCGCCCTCCCATCCCTGGTCTGATAGTTCCTGGCAGAAAAACTGCCCCACCTCTGTCTCTGCTAAGATTCCTGGAGACACAAAATGCCCAGGTCCATGCATCCATCCTGCTTCCCATCTCAGGACCACAGTCGTACCTGAGTGGATGGGTGTTGAAGCAGCAGCTAGAAAGACCAGCTGTCCATGACCATAGAGCCACTCACAGGCCGGTCAGGACTCATTGAAAGGGGAGCAGGAACACCCACCGGGTGTGGCTTGGTATGGTGGATGCCAGGTTGGCAGCTGATTATGGGTTGAGCTGCATTGGGAGAGTCTTCTCAGGGTTTTAGGAGAAAACGGCCTATGCTTCTTATAGTCTGATTTAAAATTCATTTCCCTGCCCATCCCTCCCTACCACATATTCCGGCAAATCTAGGAGCTCTACCCATCATTCCCCCTTTCTCCCACAGATGCACCTTGGTGGGCTCTGGGAAAACTCACCTAACGAGCCAGACTGAGTCATAAGACAAGGCCACATTTGCTGAGTTAAGTCTCATCTCTGCAGGGCACAGAGGGGCTGCTTTGCAAATGGAGGCTCATCTATCGACCCTGTTGGGGTGGTATACACCACACACCCTTTATTCGTTTCCTTTCCCCACCACCGTTCCAAGCCTGCCTGTGGCAAACGGACAAGTAAAGGGGTCACATCCCTCATTCCCTGTCACCACTGGAAAAGGCTGCACCTTAACAATGGGTGGGCTTGGGCTGGTACCCCAAGGATGTTGTGGGGAACGGAGGGAGTCTCCCAATGATTGCTCTGTTGCTTCCCAGGGCCTCGTGTCAAGCCGGCACCGTCTCATCATGTGTCAGCTGGCCGTCCAGAATTCCGACTGGATCAGGTAGGACCGGCCTGAAGATGCCAGAGGCGGGTGGCCCAGAGACTTACTGGGAGTGAGGTGGGGAAAAAAGAAGAGTTCCAGCAGTAATTTGGATCCTGAAAGGATGGGGAGGCAGGGGCAAGATGCTAGCCTTGTGGAGGCAATAAGTAGACCTCCAGGGATACCTGTAACTTTATTTTTGAACCAAACTATGAGGCCCATGAAAGTAAAGAAAGAGCTTGAATGTTGCACCTGTTTTGGCATCTCTGAGTCCTGGCGTGATTCTTGGAGCTTCCAGAAATATCACTGGGTTTTGGGTAAAGCATGACCAGAAAATCAGACATGCCTCTCACTTTCATTCCCACTAACTTCCATGAACCCTCACTACCTTTCAGGGAATGTTCCCCGGCCTTTGCAATTTCCCATACCTGAACTCAGGCTGCCTAAAGGCCCCACACTGGCCCCAGGAGAGAGGTGCGAGTCTGCCCTTAATGGCAGCCACACCAAATCACACCCACTAGGTGGCTTTCCTGCTCACTGTCTTTCTGGCCAGACGTGCTGCTAGGAAGGCACCTCCACCACAACCCCGCCACTAAGCTTGCAGTGTAATTAAAGCAAGCTTCCACTAATTATGCTAATGATGCTCCCCAAAGTTCCTACCATTATAATTTGCATGAGAAGATGATGTTTAAAAAAAATAATGGCATGCCATGTGAGCTGTAATTTCTCCCTCTATGGAAAAATAAGCAGCACCTAGAGGTTTCCATGAAAGGGGCGAAGTGACGGGATGCTGACCTCAGAATGAGGAATGCAGAGAGTTCGCCCAGGAAGAGTAGGGTGGGCGGGAATGAGAGCAGTGAAGGGAAGCGGCAGTAATAATTCAGCAGTGATCCTTGCCATTCGTGCACAGTGATTTGTGTGAGAAGCACATGCCCTTAATAGACTTTCTCATCCCCCTAACGACAAAGCTTTGGTAGAGAGACAGCTGCTTTTTCTCAGGTGAGAAACAGGCCCAGAGAAATCAAAGGGTTTGAGCAATGATACACTGATACATCCGTAGGGAAGAAAGGATTAGAAATGAAGCCTCTTAACATTGTAACTCCTGATCTTCTGGGGATGCTGAGGACCTTGAATAAGGGTCCAGTGAGGAAATCACTGGGCAGGAGACTGTTACTGCTTGGATGTGCTTAGAAGATTCTGGAATAATTCCCTCATTCATTCAACAACTACTGAGTGCCTACCACCTTCCCTGGGCTGCTGTAGGTTGGAAAATCAGAATCCTGAGAATTGAGATCACTAGGGAGTCTAAGAATTGCCTCTAGAGATGGGGGTTGGCTGAGATGGGGTGCCTAACACTGGGAGCCCATTTAGCCAGATGAAGTGTTTGTCTCTGGCACAGGTGCACTCCTGGGCACAGGGCCTGGCTAGGGGCAGACGGCAAGCTGACTCTCTAAGGGTTTTCAGCTAGTGGGATCTCATCTCTGGGCACTTTAGGTGGGGTGGTGGGGTAGGGTGGTGGTGTTAAGGGGATGCACGACTGCTAAGAAAATGTTTGCGAAGGCAGGGCGTGGGGGCTCCTGCCTGTAATTCCAGCACTTTGGGAGGCCAAGGTGGGCAGATCACCTGAAGTCCGGAGTTTGAGACCAGCCTGGCCAATGTGGTGAAACCCCATCTCTACTAAAAATACAAAAATTAACTGGGCATGGCGGCATGTGCCTATAGTCCCAGCTACTCAGGAGGCTGAGGCAGGAGAATCACTTGAACCCAGGAGGCAGAGGTTGCGGTAAGCCGAGATCTCACCACTGCACTCCAGCCTGGGTGACAAAGCGAGACTCCATCTAAAAAAAAAAATCATTAAGTTGGTAATTAAGGCCCAGTGCTGCCTCAGTCTGGGGCTGGATCCCTGCTTACTTCACAAGCAGTATCCCAGAGGGGCTGGCCATTGCTGGGTCTGCGCCCTCTCATCTGCCTGCCATGCCTCACCTCCACACCCATAAAGCACCTCACTGCAGAGGGAGGCAGGCAAGACTGATTTTCAAGGGCATGCAGCCTGGCCACTACTTGACAAAGGCCTTGCTCAGCTAATCCTTGTCACAACCCTCAAGGGTCCAAAGGAGGGTTTATTTTGTAGGTAATAATAGGAGCAAGACGCTGTACTGAGCATTGTACACATAAAACTTACCGAGCCTTTCTAACAAGACCGTAAGCTCGTTACTGTTGTTATTCCCATTTTACAGATGGGGAAGGTGAGGCACTGGGAGATCACATAACTTTCCCAAAGCCACACAGTTGCAAAGAGCTGGGGCTGGAATTAAACCCAGGCAGACTGGCATCAGCATCTCTTCTCATAAGCCTATGCCATGCTGTTTTCATTTTACGAAGGAGGAAACTGAAGCTTAGAAAAGTGTTTCACACCTGGGTTTTATCTGATTCAAGATCTAAGCACATGGTATGGCCAGGTCTTCCATGCTTCCTGAGCTATAATCTTTGGAAGGAAACAATAAGGGAAGAGTATGAGAACAGAAACCAAGAGAAACTTCTTTCCGATGATGTTAGGGTGGACCCTTGGGAGTGCTACCAGGACACCTGGCAGACGACCTGCAGCGTGTTGGAACACCACCGGGACCTCATGAAGGTGAGCTGGGCTGAGCCTGGGGATGCATGAACCACCAGGCTGCAAGGGAGGGGCTGGACCCACAGAAGTCAGGCAAGGAGAGGAGAGGGTGCTGCTGGCCTCTCAACCTGCTTTCAGCCTCTTATTTCTCTGCCCGTTGTGAGAGAGACCAACCTGTGTACAGCACGAAGAACAATGGATGAGAAACCCCGAGTAGCACCAGGGGCTACTCCCTGTCTTCCACCCTCAGTCTTGACCTCCCATTTGGGGCGTTGCTGCTGGGTATGGTAGGTAGCTTTTATCAGCTGGGAGCAAGTTCAAGGTGGGATTAAGGAGACCAGTGATAGGACTTCAGAAAGTGAGGGAGGAGGAGACTGGGCAACGAAAGGCAGGAGAAGAGAGGAGCACTTAGGGGAGGTACAAGCAGCCAAGCCCCATGCCCCTTACTCCAGGACAGGCTGCTGTGGCTGCGGCACTTCACACCTGCCAGTCATTGCACCCCATTCCCACCCATTCCTCCTCACAAGAGCCCCATGGGCAGATGGTGTCTGATGCCTGTTTTATTAGTGGGTAAAAGAGAGCAGAGAGGGGAGTCCACATATCTGAGCACACACAGTGAGTGTTTGGTGAACACAGATAGGTGAGAGCTTCTGTATTCCCCACTGGAGCCTGGGGCCTGTGGCCGGGCTGCAGAGACTTCAGGGCTGGTTGCCAGGTTAGAATGGGCTCCATACCAGCCAGCAACACTGGCCAGAGTGTGCAGAAAGCACCCTTCCCAGATCAATGCCAACCCATCAACTCCACAGTGACAGGACGAAAAGCAATGCTACCAATGGTGAGAAGCCTGACCAACCAAGACAGCAAACAATCAGTTCTGCTCGCCTCCATGGACTCTGCAGCAGAGCCCTCCGCAGCCCCAGATAGCAGTCCACCTGGCACTGCCCTCCTACAGGGAGAGCCTCTGTCCCATCTGTGTCCTTGCTGCCAGAGGGCCTGTCACCATGTTCTTCCTGGGGAGCAGCCCCTGACCACCCCACACTCCACCAGCTGCACAGCCAGGCCTTATTTTAACAGATGTGGAGCTTCAGAGCTCTGTCCTGAGGAGCCAAGGGCAAGTGAGGTAGAGAGGACCAGCTGGCTGTTCTCCATCTGTTGTTTTCTCCCCCCACGCAATTGGAGAAAACTAATTTCCCTTCCCTTTGGCTTTCAGAACCCTTCTCACACATCCTGACCCTTCTGGTCCCCTTCAAAGGAGGCTGACTTGGGGCCACACTGACTTGCTCCTCTGTGCTGGTCTCCACAATAGCAGTAATGAAAGGCACTGTGTAAGAGTGTATCCGTCAGGATAGGCAAAGATGTGCTGTGGTGACAAACATCCCTAAAAGCTCAGTGACTTCACACAAGTTTATTTCTCACACTACATGTCACCTAGGAAGTACCTGTGGGCCTGTGCTCTTTCTGGTCACACAGAAGCCTCAGGCTCCATGACAGAAGGAAGGAATGGGGACTCTGCAGACATTCCTCAGTGCTGGCAATACTGGCTGGAAAGCCTGGCTATCATTTGTTGTCTAAATGCCCAGGCTTCCTGAACTCTACCTGTGTTACTCATGCCCAGGGTATGAGTCTGGGCCAGAGAAGCTCCACCAGGAGCCCCAGCTGTTTCATCAATGGGCAGAGGCTGGCAAAGAATGTAGGTCACTGCCGGCCCCCCTGCCTTGGAGTAAGAGCTTGGAGCTGCTTCCTAAGAACTCTCAGCCTTCAAACTCCTAGCAAGCATGAGGCAGGTGTTCCCGGCATGCAGAGTAGACCTGCCACAGAGATAGATGCATGACTTAACAGGTGACTTGGGACAACTCTCCAATGTCAAGGCCTCTGAGAACACAGGAGCCCATGGGGGCTGGCGAGGGCAGGATCAGGGAGTGCAGCCAGCCATTTTCTACTTCTCTGAGATAGAACAAGTCAAATGGGACCCACAGTGCAGCAAGAGGAAGAAACTCCTCAGCTACCAGACCAGTCAGGAAACAGGAATGCAGTGTTTTCTTTTCTGCTGGTGAAATAATACATGGAGGCAGACCACCCCTTCCACCCCACCAGCCACGGCTGGGAAAAGAAGCCCACCAAGAGGTGAAAAGATCCCACGGTACCCCCCTCAGCTGGCTCCCAGATGTGGTCAGATGTGACCTCCTCCTATCAGGAGTCTTACAAAGGTGACAGGTTACCCCACAAGACAAATGCCTGCCCTTCTAGGGCTCAGAAGGACTCGCACACTGCTCTGCCCACAGGATGGCCTACAGAAGAGGTGCCTAGAAGATCACCCCAGCCTTGGGCCTAGGGGTCCCCTGGCAGCAGAATCCGAATCCAGAAAGGGTGGCGTGCAGGAGTGGGTGGTGGGTACCCAGGCAGCTGGCTTTTGGGAATAAAGAAACCTTGAATAAGCAGTGGCCCTTGTGAAGCTAAACAGATCCTTTGTTTCTCTGTTGCCCAACAGCCACTCTCCCTGTCCCCAGTGGGGTTGCTAGTGGGTCAGCTGTGAGGAATGCTGTCTTATCAGCTCTGTGTTTTCTGCAGCACTGGCGAGGAGTAGCCTGGCAGATAACTCAGGACAATGGATAATGCACACAGAATTTCCGCTTGGCTCTGGCATGTGTATTCACACTGAGCAGGCGAGAGAGTGCTCAGAACCCACCCACCCTGCTTCCCGCAGCACAAACACATCCTGTGCTGCCTGGCACCGCTCTCCCTCTTGCTTGGCTGCGTTACTGACAACTCTGGCCTGAAGAAGCCGCAGGTGGTGATCGTGCCTTGTGTTTGTATGACCTTTCCCAAGCTTACAGAGCCCTTTTGCAGACATGATCTCATTTGAGTCCCATGAAACATTTGGGGAGGGCAGATATTCATGTTACACAGAAGGTTCCAGCATCGCCTGCTGCTGACGGAGCTCCTGCCATGTGTCAGGCACCCCACAGGCACTTTGCATATGCTCGCCTGTGCGACCCAACCACAATTGGAAAAGGCGGGTATATGGTTAGATTCCTGAGTTGAGGTTCAGGAGCGATGAAGTAACTGTCCAAGCTCACATAGCTAGGAGGCAGAGCCCAAATTTGGCCCCAGGACCCATTATAACACCACATCTCATGCTTTTCCCACTGAGCTGCTCCTGCCAGCCTAGTGATCACGTGATGCAGCTGGGTCTAGAACCATCCCCAGGGCTCTGCCTCAGCTCTGGGTGGCCTCTCCATGATGGACAAGCAGATAACCATTTGGAGATAACTTTGAAATGATTCTCAAAGTCATGTGGCTAATAACACTCTTCTCCCTCTCCCTAGAGGGTGACTGGCTGCATCCTCTCCAATGTCAACACACCTTCCATGACGCCTGTGATCGGACAACCACAAAACGAGACCCCCCAGCCCATTTACCAGAACAGCAACGTGCCCACCAAGCCCACTGCAGGTAGGGGAACACTGATGTGGGGTACCCAAACCTCAGAATCATATGGAGGGCTTGTTAAAATAGTGATTGCTGGGATCCATCCAGAACTTGATTCAGTAGGTCTGGGAGGGGAAAGAGGACTTGTATTTTTAACAAGGTGCTGCTGATGCTGCTAGTCCACAGACAATACTTTGAGAACCCTGAATACTGAGCATCAGAGCAAACCAGTCACAATCAGAGAGAGGCAGGTGGTGGTGTGCACTCTTCTCTTGCATGTAAATATAAGCATAGGGCCGGGCCTGGTGGCTCACGCCTGTGATCCCAGCAGTTTAGGAAGCTGAGGTGGGCGGATGGCTTGAGCCCAGGAGTTTGAGAGTAGCCTGGGCAACATGATGAAACCCCACCTCTACCAAATAATAATAATAATAATAATAACAACAACAACAAAAATTAACCAGGCATGGTGGCACATGCCTGTAGTCCCAGCTACTCAGACGGCTGAGGTGGGAGGATCTCTTGAGCCCAGGAGGCAGAGGTTGCAGGGAGTGGGGGATTGTGCCACTGCACTCTAGGCTGGAAGACAGAGTGAGACCCTGTCTCAAAAAAATACATGAATTTTAAGAAGTAATTGTGTTAACTGGGAATTGAATGTACAAAATGGAGCATTTTTCTCTGCCTCTTCTAGGGAGGTTAAGGATCCTGCCCAGGGTCACACAGTGAGGAAGAAGCAGGGCCATGAGTCACACCCAGGCGGTCTGCACCCAGAATCCCCACACTCTTAGCCACCAATCCAGTCAGAGAGCACCAACACATACCCCAGACCTAGGACTATGTGCCCAAATGATGCTCGTGCTTTACCTGCTTTCTTATTTAATGCAGTAATACTGTGATATAGACATTATGTTCTCATTTCAAATAAAAAACAGATTCAGAGAAGAAAAGTGATTTGCTGATTTGTCACACAGCTCAAAAGTAGAAGAGCTACAATTCATATTCAGTACTGTCAGGCTTCGAGGTCCATGCTCTGAAATTTTCTTCCAAGCCAACTCCAAGAGACAGATTCTGATATTACTTTTCAAGCCTTGAGACCATAAGTTATTATATTATTGGTCTATTATAAACAGGGTAATTCACAAAGAAGAGTCAGAATTTCACAGTTTGCATACAGCTACATGTGGGGGGCTCAGAAAATTTTGCTGGCTTGGAGCCCGGAGGGATAATTGAAAACCAGATCCCTCTCAGCCAAATAGGATGTCTGATGATTCTAAAGACCATCTGCATGGGAAGGAACGCCTTAGCCCAGCAGAAATGGTTCCAAACATGTACTTTGCTGAGTCTCCTTGGATGTGGGTGTAGCTGTCCAGTGGGAGGAGCAGCTAAGGATAGGCTTGGGACAAACCTGGGGAAGAAATGTTCATGATATAGAAAATGAAAGAAGCCAGCTGCCTATATGGCCTTTAAATGGAAAATCTGATCCAATTTATGTAGACATACCTGCATAATACACATTTAAAACATGAAAGAAAATAAATAATATGCCAACAGGTTGGCAGTAGTTATATCTTGGGGTGGGATTATGAGTGCCTTAAGTTTTCCTCTTTATGTATTTCCCTCTTCTATATTTTCCAAGTTTCCAACAATGCAATAAACATAACCAGAAAATGGCTTCCAGTCTAGGGCTCACAATGTGTGTGCCTCAGACTGTGAATGAGAAGAAATTTGTGCTGTCATATTTCTGTTCTTTCTCTCTACCTTCCTGCTACCTCCTGCTCCCCACTCCTGCCCCATCCATGCACCCTGATGTTTACAGCGGCCCCAATGGCGGGCCGACATGAGTGCCAGTTGTGAGTGGTTCTCTCCCACTCTGTCCCTGTCTGTCTTGCTCTCTCCCATAGCCAAGATCTTGGGGAAGGTGGGAGAAAGCCTCAGCCGGATCTGCTGTGTCCGCCCACCGGTGGAGCGTTTCACTTTTGTAGGTGAGGAACTAAGGAACTTGATTCCCAGTCCTGTCTCTTTTCTTTCTCTCCTCCCTTCATTGCTTCAGCAAAGATCCTCAAGCACATTCCCCCCACCGCAAATTCCTGTGACTGTGTGTGTGCACATACTTGTGCACACCGTATTACCCCACACAGGCATTGCACACACAAGAGCACATCAAAGACTCAGTCTTCCTCATCTTCCTGCAGGCGCTTGCTACATTCCACCATGTGAAAAAGTTCTGCACCCCGAGTGTGCTTGTACTTTAAACCAGGTACTGAGAGCCGGCCACCTCTTGTGACCCCAAAAGCCATCTCTGTAGGTTGTAAGGATGTTGCTCTTGTGGCCAGCTCACTCAAATACAGAAACAACAGAAGGCGCTCAGCATGAGCATGTGTGTGTTCATCATTGACTCCCCAGTCAGGCTGTCTCATTCTGAAAGCCCCAGCAATGTGAAGTGCCGCTCCTGGAGCGGGAGGAGAGCTTCCTGTCCATTTTATGCCTGACTGTGCTCTCCATTCACCGTCCTCAGGTGTCACTTGTGCAGGGTGGCACACCACCCCCTTACTTGCACCCACCCCACCCCATCCCAATAACTCCTGCTGAGGCCCTCAGGCAGACTGTGTGTTGGGTACGAGGAAGCCGGTTCCCTAATGCCCTTCCTTCCTTCTTTCCTCCTTAGATGAGAATGCCAATCTGGGCACGGTGATGCGGTATGAAGAGATCGGTGAGTGGGACTGTGAAAGTGGGGAAAATGGGGACATTTGGAGCCCCCTGCCTTCACAACAGGCAACATGGGGAACAGAGAGGCTTGAAAACACGGGGACTGTTTTGCAGCAGGGTCTCCTCTTGGAAGAGGGATCATTCCCAGGCTAAGATTGCATTCATAGTTAGCTCCCTTTAACATCTCTCAACTGGACTCCGGCCAGCTCCCAAGAGATAGGACGGGATCATTTGGAGATTTTTCCTTCAGACCCTCTCCTTCCTCTAAAAAACATGAAACTTGAGCTTTGGCACCAGTTGGAAAGACCCTTCTTTTGAGCACAGACACTGCACACAAATGAGGCAGAAGAGCACCTCCGCCTTCCTCATTCAGTGCTTGAAGATGAAGAAATAGAGAGGGGACTGAAAGCCACCTCCACACCTCCCTTGCAGCCTTGGGCAGAGGCTAAGGCACTTCACTGTGTGTGAGGGCTGCCTGCCCAACCCAATCCCAGAGCAGGCCAGGGCGGGCCCGAGCCAGTGGAGGGCGGTTACACAGCTGTCAGGGTGGGAAGGCGTTGATGACCCCTACAAGCAAGTTGAGAAGCAGATAGGAACACTGAAATCTTCCCAGGGTTTCAGAATGGGTGAGAGACACAAGTGGGAGATGCTGGGGAAAGGGCAGGGAGACACCATAATAGAGCTGGAGCTGGCACAGGTACCAGGGTACAAGAAGGGTCAGTGATATCAGGAATGCCTGGAGCTCTAGGGCAAGGCAGCCTGGTGTCCACACCCTCAATCTTCAACTTCCAGCCGAAAAGATCCTCCAATCATCCCCTCCTGGTACTTTTCTGTCCAAGAACTGGAAGTCAGGCTCCTGCTGCAATCCTGAGAGGCAGGGTTTGTCCTGAGCACCTGGTTCTTCCTGCAGACCCGGCAGATGTGATGTCATTTCAAGGGGCTTCTCTGGGTCTCATCCTCTCGTCTGAGGTGCAGTGGTGTCCCTGAATCGGCTCAGTTGGTTTCCTACAACCATTTGTAAAGTTTTCAGGAATTTTGTGAACCAGTTTTAAATACAGGCATTACTAAAAATTAAGTTACATTAACTTAAAATTAAATTGAATTAAAAACAAAAGGAATGAAGACTCAAAACTCCTCACTTCTTAATTATTTTACTATATTTTAATAGCCTTTATTGACCAGCAGGTACTCTCTGAAGGCCACAGGAAGGAGCGCCCGCCTTCCTGCTTGCTCCCCGAAACAGGCAGGAGCATTTGGCTCTAGGTTCTGTAGCCCCAGAACACCCAACAGGCAAGGATGGGAGTGAAGGTGCTGGGACTGGGCTGAAACCTCCTGCACTCCACTTCCCTGCAGTTCCAGCCTGGCCATCACCTGCTGCCTTCCCACACAGTCTCTTGGCCAGCAGAGCTCAGAGCAGCCTTAGGACTTCTCATTGTATTCCAATGTGTATTTCTCTTTCCTTAGTCCAGAGATGTATTGTGGCAAGCTTGAACCATGGCCTTGCTTGTCTTCCCAGTGCCCGGGGCAGGTGGATCAGGCTTTCCCCACCCTGACTCAAGGAGTCCCCTCTGGGAGAGGACAGTGGTGATCAATGTTGCACAGCGTACTGCTGTGTTCACTTCCATTAGCTCATGGCTACCTTGGGAGGGGCAGGGGCCTCTGCTTACTCTTCTTGTTCCATAGCAGCTCTGGAGTTATGGTGAGCCAGCCGCCAGGGTCCAGAAATGCAGCTGGGGAGTGACCGACCTCTCACCTCTGGTTTCCCTGAGGCTCTGCCTCTCCCCTTCCACATCCCTGTGCTCGCTGAGAGGGAGGGTCTACCGGCACGTGATGGAGAAGGGACCGTGGGGGTAGATAATGGAGAATACCTAGGTTCCGAGAAAGGACAGCTCAGCAGCCACAGCTGTCAGATTGGGCTCAGGTCCTGGCAGGGTCCAGGTGGTGGCTGCGTGCAGTGGAAACTGGGATGGGCTGCAGGGCTCGGGCTTCACATAGCCCGGATTCCTGGGAGGGGAGTGTGGACAGACAGCGTGCATTCTGGCTCGTGGCCCTGAATCAGGGTGACCTGGGGAAGGAGGCCGGCCCAAAGAAACTCGAAGGGAGCTATGCTGCCTCCCGACTCCTGCGCTGTGTGAGGCCCTGGGGCTCACATGTCCCCCTTTTTGATATTTCCTTGCACACTAAATGAGGAGGAAAAGCCATTTTCTCCTAGTTCCATTAGCACCTGTTGACCCTATTTACATGCTCCTAACAACTGACTGCTCCTCCAAGGCTGCCCTAGGCCACAGGCTGATGGGCTGGAAACTTGCCTTAGCCTCATACGACTAACTGAGAGAAGTCACTGCTGCCCTCCAGTGGCCACATGTGGGATCTCAAGCCCTGCTGGGGCCGCTTGTCTGTGACTTAAATGTTTGCACTGGTCCTGCAAGAAAAGGTGCAGAGACCCCACTCTTGAACTCTTTGTGCTTTGGCTTAAAAAATAAAAGTCTCACATTATATTTGATTGGGATAGTGCGTCCCTGGCTTGAGAATAGGAAAGAGATTTATTTTCATGCCTGTGTAAGCAGGGATTTTTAACCTTGGCACTAACTGACATTTGGGAACAGATTGTAGGATGTTTAGCAGCACTCCTAGCCTCCACCCACTAGATGCCAGTAGCATGCCACCCTCCCCCTCCAGTCCTGACATCCAAAAATGTCCAGGCATTGCCCAATGTCCCCTGGCAAATGCAAAATTGCCCTCAGTTGAGAACTACTGATGTAGCGAAAGCTGAGGGCCAGCACATTCCCTGTTGATGTGACCATCTAATTCAGGGCTGCCCAATCTTTTGGCTTCCCTGGGCAACACTGGAAGAGGAAGAATTATCTTGGACCACACATAAAATACACTAACACTAGCAATAGCTTATGAGCAAAAAAAAAAAAAAAAAAAAAAAAAAAAATTGCCAAAAAAATATCTCATAATGTTTTAAGAAAGTTTACATGTTGGGTGTAGTGGCTCATACCTATAATCCTAGCACTTTGGGAGGCCACGGTGGGCAGATCACTTGGGGTCTGGAGTTCGAGACCTGCCTGGCCAATATGGTGAAACCCCCTCTCTACTAAAAATACAAAAATTAGCCAGGTGTGGTGGCAGGCACCTGTAATCCCAGCTACTTGGGAGGCTGAGGCAAGAGAATTGCTTGAACCTGAAAGGTAGAGGTTGCAGTGAACCAAGATCATGCCACTGCACTCCAGCCTGGGTGACAGAGGGAGACTCTGTCTCCAAAAAAAGAAAAAAAAAAAAAAAGAAAGTTTACAAATTTATGTTAGACTGCATTCAAAGCCACCCTGGGCCGCATGTGGCCTACGAGCCATGGGTTGGACAAGCTTGATCTAACTGAACGCATAGGCAGTCAGAATTACGAGACGTGCCCTTTCAACAGAGAACTGACCTAGAACCCTGGGTGGCTCCAAGTGGGCCTGAGGAACAACAGAATCCCAGAAATAAGCCCCGTCTGCAATACCAAGCGTGGTTCCTCTCCACAGTTGGGGAGTTGGGCCAGAAATCCTATGGTGCAACACAGAGGAGCCACCGACTCAGGCAAACATTTCCCCCAGTGGCCCCTGCTGCAAGAGCAGAGGCCACAATAGCCACCTCCCGCCTCCCAGATTGCCCGGAAGGCAGCCTGCAGGACCTGTGCTGTCAGCTCATCTGTTGCCTCATCCATTCAACATGTCTGAGCACCTACTGTATGCAGTGACTCTGCCAGACCCTGGGGCTGTAAAGATAAAGCACAATCCCTGCACACAAACACATCATTAGACTAAGGTATGATAGACAGGAGAGAAGACAGGAGGCAGGAATATTTCACAGTTACAATCCAGTCCTCAGTGGGACTCCCTGAGGTGGGAAGGCTGCCCTGACCCTGGGACCATGAGATGCTGGCATTGCCCACCATTGGCCCAGTAGCCTCCCCCCTGCTTTAGGAGTCCCACCTAGAGACTCATTCCACAGCAGGGGACAGCTGACCACCTGAAAGCCCCCGTCAGGCCCCAGAATTAGCTACAGGGTCTAAGGCAGGCAGGGCTGCCCGCAGCTTCTCTCGACTCTCGCCCGGGCCTCAGGGCTCCAGGGCCTGTGCCGGTAGCTGTCTCTGGAAGGCTGGCAGTACCCTCAGTGCAGAGCTGCCTCACTGTTTCAGACAAGATGCCCAACAGCCTCGGCCTCTTGACGGGAGCGACTGCAACGCCTGGGAGCCACGCTATGCTCCACCTTGAGCCACATCCTGGGCGAGGACTCTCCTCATGGTGTTCTCAGAATGTTGTTCCCACTGCCCAGTTTCAATAAGTGAGTCAGTTTGCTGCCTCTTTTAAACAACAATGGGCCTCACTGGGATAATTCAGAGTGAGCTTAATGAGGGAAGAAACACAACTGACAAGCAGGAAGTGCGCCTGGGTGCCAGGAAAAGTATGGGCACTGGGAGGGGCCTCAGCCTTGCTTCTCAAGCCGTTTGCTGGGGATAGTGGCCATGTGACACATTTTATACACTCAGCTAACTCAAGGTACATTCAATGTCCCCTCACACCCCCTCCCGTGTCAGGGAGACAAACCCCAGACAACGCACAGAAACAGAGAATCCAAACTCCGTTGACGTTTGAGCTTGACAGGGAGCAAGAGAGTGCCTCAGACCTTAGACAAGATGCGTAGCTGGCTCAGCCACTGTTACAAAAACGATCATAAGCCATCCTGGCTTAGCTCTCAAAGGTCCATGTCCTGGGAAAGCCAGGGCAGTCGATCACCCCCTATGCCCTACTCTCCTTGCATGAATAATTCCTCCCACAGGGGAGGAAGGTGGTCTGGAAATGAGCCCGAGGGAGAGGTGAGCAGGGGTTTCTGCACTGCACACACTCAGGGGCAGGGGCACCTGGGAGAACTGGGTCCCACAGCCCCAGAGGTGGGAGAGTTACGTATTCACCAGGGGAAGAAGGCCGAGGGTTTAATACTTCCCAGGCCTCCACTTACTCCCTTTGCAAACTTTGCTCGCCTTCCTCAGAGCTGCGGATCCTGCTGCTGTGTGGTAGTGACCTGCTGGAGTCCTTCTGCATCCCGGGGCTCTGGAACGAGGCAGATGTGAGTAGCAAGGTTGTTGCCCGGCACCCAGCTGGGACTGGCAGGGATGGGAAGGGTACATTCGATTTTGGCCTCCTGTCTTCACTTCTTCTGAGCTCCTAAGAGAGCAGTCCATTCACATCACTATGGGAGAAAATTCTCACCTACCCGCAAGCTTTATCTCCTACTGCATTTTTACACTTACTCCTCCTCAGGCTTGCTCCAGTCAAGCCCCCGGGAAAAAAGCAAGCTGAGTCATGCAGTATCTGGCTCCAAATAGTGCTGGGGTATGCCTGCGTTGCAGATGAGGAGAAGGGAGGGAGAAAAAAAAATCTTTGCCCTTTTGAGATTATTGTGTGTTTTGTTTTCCTTTGATTCCTTTCGAAGAGGTGGTAAATACCACCCTGGAATCCCCTCAACAAAGGAAAATTGGTCCAGAGGGGAGAAGTTCACGGCAAGAGGTCAGCAGGATCCTTGGCAATTGACTTGGCATTGAGGGAACCACGAGGTTAAACTTACACCACTTAGGAGCTCAATGACACCTTTTGTTGCCAGATCTGACTGTGATGATCTCAAACCAGCTTACCCATAAATGACTCACTCTTCACACATACATTCATTCTTATCCCTTCATTAATTCATTCATCTGGTGGCCTAAGCCAATGCTAGCTCCCAAACCCATAGCTGTATGCACATTGAATTCCCAAGGCAACAATTCTAGACGTAGTGCTTTTTGATTAACTTGCTATGTGACTCTGGACCTGCCTCAGTTTGTTGTTGTTGGTTTTCTTTAATCTATAAAATCTATAGAATGTTATCTACAGCGTTCTGAGATTTTAAAGAAACGTTGTACTACACAATCCTTGTCCCCAAGTAATAGGTGGCATGACATACACATGTGAAATATTTTCGTTTACATTTGTGTGTCTCTGGACAGAGATAGAGTCAGGACAGAGGCAGGACGGGGTCAGGCTCAAGATTGGAGTTCTACTCCAACACAACTCATGACAAAATATATTGGTTTTTTTTTTACTTATTTTTGGGACGGAGTCACTCTGTCGCCCAGGCTGGAGTGCAGGTGGTGTGATCTCGGCTCACTGCAACCTCCGCCCCCCAGGTTCAAGCGATTCTTTTACCTCAGCCTCCCAGGCACCTGGAATTACAGGCACTCGCCACCATGCCCAGCTAACTTTTATATTTTTAGTAGAGACGGAGTTTTGCCATGTGGCCAGGCTGGTCTTGAACCCCTGACCTCAGGTGGTCTGCCTGCCTCGGCCTCCCAAAGTGCTGGGATTACAGGCGTGAGCCACTGTTCCCTGCCAACAAAATATATTCTGAGCTTCAGTTTTTTCCATCCCTGAAATGAGCCTAATAAGAGTGCCTACATCTCCTGGGTTTGGAAGGCTTAAATGGCATTGTGTTTTGAAAGTGCCTAGCCCCTGCACCTGACACACAGTCATGCTCAGCAAAGCTAATAAGTGAATTTACCTAGACACACAGATACACACAAAGCTATGCAGGGTGAAGGGCATAAATGCTAACATGCTGTGGGATAACCAAGATGGGAGGGAAAGTTTCCGGGAAGTAAAGTATACTGTGTGAAATATACAGTCCTCTCCACCCTGGAACCATTTCCTACCTCCTTTCAGGTAGGAGATTTTAAACCTCCTTTCAGTTCTAAATTATGTGGCTTAATTAGCTTTTGCTTTCCTCGATAATTCACAAGGAGCTGTGAAAGTCAAAAGTAATGTGGCAAAGTTCTGTACAAGAGCTCATCAAAGCTCTTTCAAGAATCCAGGCAAATCTGGGCGATCACCTGGGGCCCCATTTTATTGCGGAGGCCTGGGCCATCCTGGAGGAATTTAGAGAGAGAAGGTCAGCAGCTGTGGCACAGCCGGGAGTGCTGTGGAGCAGGAATCCCTGAGGGCTATTGCTAAGTGTGATGGGTGAGGAGCCTCCTCTCAGGGGCAGACCCAGGCTTCCTGGAGCCTGAAACTTACACAATTTGGGGCCTTGCTGCAGGCCAATCCCTCTCTGCTCCTCCCAGTTAGATTGCTGACTTAGATTGCAGGTCCTCTAACTTCTCTCCAAAACGGCTGGTCTTGGTGTTGTCAGATACCAACATTATAGGACCAGGGGGAAGAGCCCCAGGTCTCTCCTTTTCTGGTTGGTCCCTGGTGCCGAGACCAGGGTTGGTTGGTTAAGACAGAAAATCTGAGAAACCAGTAGCTGTTGATTTACCAGGGATGTGACAGCAGAGGTGGAGTGAACTCATTGGGTCAAATACGTTCCCACTTGACCACTTGGCAAGTCCCAGCCCCAAACCTCTTCCCTTTCTGGATTCCCCAGGGAGATCATAGAATTTCTGTCCTATCTGGGTGGTTGTGGAAAAAGGGGAGGGATTCTCCTATCCCATTTCCAATCACCATCTGAGATGGATGACTTTGGAACATCCCCTGGAAGCCAGGGACGGATGAGATAATGAACCAACAGCAAGATCAGGTAACCAACTAGTCCCCATTTCTGCAAGACTTACCCAGTTTTAAAACTGAAATACTAGGCCAGGCGCAGTGGCTCACACCTGTAAACCCAGCACTTTGGGAGGCCGAGGTGGGCGGATCACGAGGTCAGGAGATCGAGACCATCCTGGCTAACATGTTGAAACCCCCGTCTCTACTAAAAATACAAAAAATTAGCTGGATGTGGTGGTGGGCACCTGTAGTCCTAGTACTTGGGAGGCTGAGGCAGGAGAATTGCTTGAACCCTGGAGGCAAAGATTGCAGTGAGCTGAGATCACGCCATTGCACTCTGGCCTGGGTGACAGAGCAAGACTCTGTCTAAAAAATAAAATAAAATAAAATAAAAAACGGAAATGCTTATATCCTGGGACCTCCCTCAGTCCCGGGTTAGCCACCCTGGAGTCCCAGGACACCCAGCCTAGCTATGCACAGAGGGTACCACGTCCCAGGCCAGTAGGGAGCCACATCTAGCTTGTCCAGGGTGGTGAGAAATCCAGTCCCCTGCAGAGGCAGCAGAAGGATTTGGGTGAAGCAGACCCTCAAGCTTCCTCCAGATGGCTTTCTGGAGCCTGGAGCAGACCTGCTTCCACGTCCTGCCAGCCAACTGCTCAGTCCCCTGCCTCAACTGAGCCCAAGTGATCCTTAGAGGTCCTTAGAATCACTGAGTCTGAGACAGAGGGGGGAAAGTTCCTCACATAATGAGTGTGAATCTCAGCCTGCGACAGAGGTGTGCCAGAAATATCATGTTAATATATTTACATCAAATTAACATACCAGTCCAAATCCCTATCCCACAGGGATGGTGGTAATTTCATCTCAGCCATTACTAATTAGCAGACCTGAAAGGCTCTTGCACACCCCGAACATGAGGACAGTCTTTCAGTTTCAGTTCACCATGGTCACCGCAGACATCTTCCCTGTCCAAGCCTTTGTGGTCCCTTGAAGTCAAAGGTGCCCTGCTCCACACCCACCAGGAGCAGGGAACTCCTGGCTGAGTCTGGAGGCCTCGTGCTGGGCCCCATTGTGATCACCAGGCCCGTTCTCCTCTGAGGCTTTGCCCCCAGTGTGCTGCCCAGGAGGAGGAGGAGTGGGCTCCACAGAGCTCTAGCCTCTTCCTATTGTAGGGAAAGTTGGTGGGAGGGCAGCAGAACCTCTTCTTTGTTCTTTCTATCCCCAAGTCATCTTCCGTATTTTCTCTCCCCTCTTCAGGACATCTAATGAAATGTCTTTTTTTTTTTCTAAGAGACAAGGTCTCACTATGTTGCCCAGGCTGGTCTCAAACTCCTGAGCCCAAGTGATCTTCCCACCTCAGTCTCCCAAAGTGCTGGGATTACAAACCTGAGCCACTCACTGCACTAGGTTCAAAATTTCTTCAGTGAGTTTAAAGGCATTGACTTCAGGCCGGGCGCTGTGACTCACGCCTGCAATCCCAGCACTTTCGGAGGCCGAGGCAGGTGGATCACCTGAGGTCAAGGGTTTGAGACCACCCTGGCCAACATGGTGAAACCCCATCTCTACTAAAAATACAAAAAATTAGCCGGGCATGGTGGCGGGCACTTGTAATCCCAGCTACTCGGGAGGCTGAGACAGGAGAATCACTTGAACCCAGGAGGCAGAGGTTGCAGTGAGCAGAGATCGTGCCATTGCACTCCAGCCTGGGTGATAGAGCAAGACTGTGTCTCAATAAATAAATAAATAATAAAATAAAGTCATTGAATTTAAAGCACTCTGGTTTTGTCCTGCAAATTCCTCCTGTAAAAGATCTGGCTCTCTGCTAGAAATAGAGCTGGCCAGCCAGGCATGGTGGCTCACACCTGTAATTCCAGCACTTTGGGAGGCTGAAGTGGCTGGATCACTTGAGGTCAGGAGTTTGAGACAAGCCTGGCCAATATGGAGAAACCCCATCTCTACTAAAAATACAAAAATCAGCCAGGCGTGGTGGTGCATGCCTGTAATCCCAGCTGCTTGGGTGGCTGAGGCAGAAGAATTGCATGAACCCAGGAGATGGAGGTTGCAGTGTGCCAAGAATGCGCCACTGCACTCTAGCCTGGGTGGCAAGGCAAGACTCCAAAAAGCAAGAAAGCAAGAAGGAAGGGAGGGTGGGAGGGAAGGGAAGGGAAGGAAGGGAAGGAGGGAGAGAAAGAGGGAGGGAGGGAGGGAAGGAGGGAAAGAAAGGAAAGGAAGGAAGGAAGGAAGGAAGGAAGGAAGGAAGGAAGGAAGGAAGGAAGGAAGGAAGGAAGGAAGGAAGGAAGGAAGGGAGGGAAAAAAACAGAGCTGGCAGAGGAGGGTGTAGGGAGCACAAAACTAGTTAGCACCTCAGTGAATTAGTCCACTGCCCTTATTTGGGGAAGGTTGGATCTCAAGTTCTGGAAAAGGAACATCTTTCAGGAGTAGGTACAGAATGAGCTCTGCTTATTGTACCAGCAAGTTCTACCATCTGGGGTTTGCCTGGAAACGGCCTGTTTTAGGAATTTCTGTTCCTAACCATGAGACTCCTGGAAA